TAAATTTATAATAAAAAAATATATTTAATATATTTTTAAATTGTATTAATAAGACACAGCTTAAATAAACTTTTCAAAAAAAATAAATTTACCTTAGAAAGCAAAACTTATTTACCTATAATTTTATCACTTGAAACTTTTCTAAGAGTCAATGTATGTGCGCATGCGCTGCCTCTTCGACTTCTATTCTTAGTGAACTACGGACTGTAAAAATGACTCCTCCGCGTTGACTATTATACTAGGAATAATGATAAATAAAATTAATTTTTAAAATTAAAATTTAAGATTAATAATGTAATATAAATTAAATTATTTAAAATATTAAAAAATAAATTTTATATTATTTAATAATTAATTTTTTTATTTTTTAAATCCATTATATTATATATATCAATTAATTAATTTAATAATATACATCATATCATTAATTTTAAATTTTTATCTTTCCTATAATCAACGGCAGAGCCGATTTTATGCCAGTTATCAATAGGGATGGTAATTTCCTCCTCAACTTATGGAGGTCCACGAATAATTCTCGTAGAGGGAGTGGAAATTTCAAGAATATCTTTTTTTTAGGGTAGGGATAGAGACATATTTTTTCTCGTGAAATTTCATGATAAATTTTCTCTACCTCGTGGAGATAATTGGGAATTTGTATATAATAAAAAAATATAAATTTATATATATTTATAAATATGTTATTAATTAATTTTTAATCATTCAATTCAATTAGTTAATCCAACTCAATTTAAATTGCCCAAACCTAGTCCAATTCCTTGTCCAATCGTCCCAAACCTAATTCAATACAATAAGTAAATTGCAAATTACAAATTGCAAGCAAATTACAATCACCAATTGTAGGTTCGCAACTAATTGCCAATTGCAGGTTGCAGTTTTTTCCTATGAACATGCTGCTGGAGCTCAAGTGCTAGACATGCATGGCAGTATGTATTTGGTTGTTCCAACTGGACATTGCTTTGTTTGTTGGATTGTACGTGTAATGTATTTATTTTTGAATTGTTTTAAAATTTTAATTTTTTGAATTTATAAAAAAAATTAAATTTTACATATTTAATATTTAACGAAAACACTGTAGACTCATGAGACCCATCATTTTTTGCTAATATAAGAATAGAGGTTATTTTTCACCTTTTACTAAAAATCCTCATGAGAATCTCAGTACCTGTCATTGACAGGGATGCGAAGGGGCGGAGTCCCGTTGCCATCCCCGTCAATGACAAGAACTGGGATGCTCACGGGGAGCCATCCTTAGTTATTAATACTGGTAGTGCTACGTAATATCAGCCAATAATTATTCACTTTTACACTAATTTCTTTATTGGCCTCTCTTAATTTGAGTGAGCTGCCTGAATAATGCACGCACGCTTTTTAATGCTACGTAGAAAATATGTTTTTGATGAGGTGTAGTTTTTAATTATTAGGGTACTTGGGCTTTCAGTCCAGTGGTGTCAAGTCACGTATAAATATATTTTTTTACTTATATAATATAATTTTTAATTATTAAAGCACTTAGACCTTCGGCTCCAATAGTGTCAGATCACATATAAGTGCATTCTCTCACCTCATGGCAACTGTTCGAATCCAATCTCTTGTGAATTTGTTCAAAAAAAAAATATATTAGAAGATTAAGTGTATAAAATTAAAATGAATTTATCTTGTTGCTTGTGTTTTTAGGTATTGATTAAGGATATATTTAGTTTATTTTTTTATATTAATTTAACTAAAAAATATAAACATTGACGTATTGTAATTTTCAATATAATTATCACCTAAATGGATTTAATTGGATATTTTTTTATTTTAAACTAATTTTTATACTTTTTATGTTAGCTAATAAAAGTACAATAAGTGTACCATTAAATGGTACATTGAAACAAATGTTAAAAAAATTTAATTAAAAACTATATATTAATTACATTTTAATAAATTTTTATAAAAGTAAATATGAATATTATTTTTAGGAAAAAAAATAAAAATGTTCTAACATTAAAAATGTTATAATGTCTAATATTAATTACATAATAAATTTCATAAAATTAAAATTTATATTATATCTTACATATTTAATAATTATAATTCGATATCATGATATTTAATCAATACCAGTACCTCTTGATTTTTCTTTTTCTCTTATTTTTAAGGCCAAAATTACATAGATAATAGATAGCTTTCATTGAGTTTTTCTAAGAAAATTAGAAAATCCCAAAAAAAAAAGCAAGGTTATTTCCATATCAATAAAAATATTAAAGTCACTAAAATTATAATATTATTCTTAAAAATATTAATTTTATTTAATTTTATTAAAAATAATTAATAAACGTAACTATTAAATAATAACTTATAAAAAATATTTATTAATTATTAAATTAATAATTAATTAATAATCTAATATTTTGAAATACTACTTAAAAATAAAACCTAAAATTTTATTCATCTTAAAATGCAGCACTAACTACATCCCAAAAAGAAACATGCTCTGGGCGAAGGTGAATGAATTGTTAGTGATATTACCCTGTATGTATATATATATATATATATATATATACATATACTCCGTACACCGTACCATACTAAGGAGGTAAATGATTAGTGTCAAAACGGGAAGTTGAGGTGGCGGCTGCTGTGTCTTGTTTGGAGTTTCCTAGAAAGTTCCCACGCTAGCTACCTTGAAATCCTCTGCTTTTTATGGAGGGTGATTCTTCTGGTTTTACCACGATCTTCTCTGTTTTTAAGTAATCAATTCTCCTTCACTCGTCAATTTTCTCCGTGTTTTTAATTCATCAAATCTCTTTGCTTTTTCTATAAAGTTTCCATCTTGATTCAAATTCAATCTCCGAATCAATATTCAAGATTCGGGTTCCATTTTTTTCTTAATCTTTTTGATTTTACATGGATACCCTCCTTCATGATTTACCCACTTCCATACATGGCTTCGGATTCGACAATGGATCTGCTCCGGTGTATTCAAATCACAATCTTGTTTCTGGGTTGAACCCAAATCGTACTACCGTTCCACTTCCACCTCCCAATCAGGACTCTCCGCCGTCTGCTATGGATCCGGCCCCGTCGTTCGGTATGAACCCAGATGAACATCCCGATAATTCTCCCTACGCTAGTCTCGTTCTGAATTACATAAACGAGATGTTGATGGAAGAGGACATGGAGGAGAAGACCTGCATGTTGCAGGACTGTTTGGCTCTCCAGGCTGCCGAAAAATCCTTTTATGAAGTGCTAGTTCACAAGAATCCACAGTCGCCTGAGCATCGCCCACCAAGTGTTTGTCAAATTGCCGAAGAGTCAGATGATAACATCTCCAGCAGCAAGATTTCAAGTAGCAGTAGCAGTTTGGTTGATTCTCTCGAAAAAACCTCTCTGGTGTCAGATTCGGGTAGTAATTCCTCTCTCAACTTTTCCGGGTCGCCTAATACGCCGGAAAGCACCCCATCAAAGTCGAGGGAGAGGAAGAATTATGAGCGTGAAGACGGTGATTATTCACAAGAAGGGAGGAGTAACAAGCATCCTGCCTTTTCACTCGAAGATCCTGAGCAATCGGAGATGTTCGACGATGTATTGCTCTGTCAGGGGGAAAATCATGACTGTAGGTCGCTTTCTGTTCATGGGAATGGGAAGTCCAAAAACAAAGGGATTAATACCGGAGGAAATCGCCGGAGGAAAAACAGCAACCAAGAGGAAGTGGTGGATTTGTGGAGCCTTCTCACTCAATGCGCACAATCTGTTTCTATCAATGATCAAAGGACTGCCACTGAGCTGCTGAAACAGATAAGGCAGCATTCCTCTGATTTAGGCGACGGAACGCAGCGACTGGCGCATTACTTTGCAAATGGCCTCGAGACACGGCTGGCTGGCCAGCGGGCTCCGGTGTATTCACCTTTGGTAAGCAACAGGACTTCAGCCGCTGATATCCTAAAAGCATACAGGGTGTTCGTTCTAGCATGTCCATTCAAGAAAATGTCAAATTTCTATGCAAACAAAACAATTGTGAAATTAGCACAGAAAGCAACCACCCTACACATCATTGATATTGGCATCTGCTATGGCTTTCAATGGCCTTGCCTCATCCAGCGCCTCTCCGAAAGGGCCGGTGGGCCTCCAAAGCTTCGCATTACCGGAGTCGAGTTTCCCCAACCAGGATTCCGGCCATCAGAAAGGGTAGAAGAGACAGGGCGTCGGCTGAACAGGTACTGTGAAAGATTCAACGTTCCTTTTGAGTATAACGTCATAGCGAAGAAATGGGAAACAATCCAACTTGAAGAACTGAAGCTCGGCAAGAATGAGCTGCTCGCTGTCAATTCCATGTACCGGTTGAAAAACCTCCCGGATGACACAGTGGTGTCAAAGAGTGCAAGGGATGCAGTCTTGAAACTGATAAAAGACTCCAAACCGGATTTATTCATCCAAGGAGTTGTCAATGGGACATACAATGCTCCATTCTTTGTTACCAGGTTCCGGGAGGCTCTATTCCATTTCTCTGCCCTCTTTGACATGTTTGAGGCTAATGTTTCTCGTGAAGATCAGCAAAGGATGATGTTCGAGAAGGAGATATACGGGAAGGATATCATGAATGTGATTGCTTGCGAGGGTATAGAGAGGGTTGAGAGGCCGGAGACATATAGGCAGTGGCAGTCTAGAAACCTTAGGGCTGGATTCAAGCAGGTTGGTCTGGATCAGGAGCTGCTGAAGACAGTGAGAACAATGGTGAAATCGAGTTACCATAACGATTTTGACATTGATGTGGATGGTAATTGGATGCTGCAGGGATGGAAGGGAAGAGTGATACACGCTCTTTCATGCTGGAAACCTGCATAGGAGTTACTTATGGTAGAACTAGAAGCAATATCATTGTCTCTTTCATTCTTTTGTTCCACAGCTATTTGACATTTTTCAGTAGATTTACCTCAGTTTATCATGTGCTGATGTAAAATAATTTTCTCATTCATAAACAAGGATAATATATTTATTTGTTTAAGTCCATTCTATCATTCCTTTCTTTCATTTTTCTCTTCTAGGAAAATTTGTTTTCCTTTCAGGTTAGGTGGTGTTCGTTAGCTTGGCGCTTAGCAAGAAGAGACAGTCGTCCCAAAATGACTGCGCAATCCAACGAGAATTTTAACAATTTATGGGTGAGAAACAAAAAATATTCATCCCTTGGGGGTGTGTGTCATAATATATTGAAGCACTTCTTTCAGCAAAATCATTCCTTGGACAATTTCATTCGGATACATGCAGGTTATATTCCTCTACAGCTGAACAGTTCACACGAGGAATATTTTAAATGACTAACTCGACTTCTGATAAATATGATAAGAAGGTTACATATGAAGGCCTTAAAAGAAAAAGCTATGGAAAAAGAGTTTCACACTATAGTCAATTTAGTTTCTCACCTTTTTGAGGCTTTGGTGGTCTAAGGACATCCCAATCCAGCTTCTCACGTTTTGGTTGCTTATGTGAGGAGGCTTTGCTGCTGCTGCTGCTTGGTGATGATTGAACACCTTGACCATTTTTTGGTGATTTACTTGGATACCATGGTTCAGAAGCTTCACCAGATTGTTTTCTTTTAAGCCCTTCATTTGTTTCACAATTCTCTGTATCAACTTTTAAGCACTCAGCTCCATCAGATGATCCGTCTTCTCTGAGTCAATTGAGAGAAAAAAGTAAGACAAGAAATTGTTTGATCCTCCTTGTATAACTGTGAATCATGCAACCAAAATATGATTGCAATTAACCCATCCATTATCCACTTTTGCATGTTATATGGTACTCTTAAAAAATTATCATTATGATTGTATTTATCCTAAGATTATGAGTTTACTAGAACTGTCCTTTATAATTCAACATATTTAATTTATCATTTGAAGGTAGTAAAAATGGCATTTTCAGGGCAAAATTTCTTTCAGTTGCAGGTCAAGCACACAGATGTAGGTATTGAAATCTATTTTCAATAATTAGTGGTT